GTAACACCTTTTAAGAGTTAAAAGCACCTTCTGCTTCATCAGCCATGGCTGTGTGCTACTTTGTGGCCGTTGGCCTCAACAAGGTCTACAAAGTAACCAAGAACATGTGCAAACCAAGGCACATCCGCCACCGTGGCCACCTCACCAAGCACACCAAGTTTGTGCAGGACATATTCGGCAGATGTGTGGCTTTACGCCTTATGAGCATCGGACCATGAAACTGCTCAAGGTTTCCAAGGACAAGTGGCCACTCAAGTTCCTCAAGAAAAGGGTGGGGATGCACATCCCATGCCAAGAGGAAGTGAGAGGAGTTCAGCAATGTCCTGTCTGCCAAGAAGGACTGAGCAGGTCCCTGTCCACTGTGCTTCCCTCAATCCCCAAATAAAAACCTTTACAGAAAAATATAAAAGTTAAAGCAGGTCAAGTATTCTAATACATGTTTTGTCATACTTGTTACATGCTAACTCATAGTAACCCTGTATAGGGTTTCCAAGGAGTGGCTGATGTGTTTTGAACCACCAGCCTTGAAGTTAACAGCCCAGTGCTTATCCTACAGCAACAGCACCACACCTAGACTCCATTTTGTTATCATACTTTAAAATCCTGAACTTTTGAAAAGTTAGCATATAAAAGTTTGTTATTAGGCATCTTTGAGTTGGTTTTGATTAAGAGTGACCCTATGCATAGCAGAGCAAAACACTGCCCAGTCCTGAGCCATCCTCATAAATGTTATGTTTGAGCCTATTGTTGCTGCTCTTTTTCCCTGCCCCTTCCCTTCAGAAGAGCATGATATAGTCTGGGGATTGATCCTTCCTGATAGCAAGTATTTCTTTCAAGATAGATTTGTTGACTCCGGAAGTCCATGGTACTTTCAATATTCTTTGTCATCATCATGATTCAAATGTATTGGTTCTTCTCCAGTCTTCCTTAGTCATTGTCCAAATTTCATATGCATATGAGGCAATTGGCATACCTTAGTCTTCAAAGTGACATCTTTGCTCCCTGACACCTTAAAGAGGTCTTTTGCAGCAGATTTGTGCAATACAATACATCATTTGATTTCTTGATTGCTGCTTCCATAAGCGTTGATTGTGGATCCAAATAAAACGAAGTGTTTGACAACTTCAGTCTTTTCTCCATTTATCATGTGATTGGTTCAGTTGTGATGATATTCATTTTCTTTACATTGAGTGCAATTCATACTAAGGCTGTAGTCTTTGATCTTCATCAGTAAGTAGCATTGCAAGCCTCTTCCAGCAAGCAAGGTTGTGTCACCTGCATCTCCTAGGTTGTTAATGAGTCTTCCTCCAAACTTCATGCCACATTCTTCATATAATTCCACTTCTCAGATACTGTTCAGTATACAGATTAAATAAGTATGGTGAAAGGATACAGCCTTGGCAAAACCTTTCCTGATTTTAAAACATTCGGTATCCTTTTGTTCTAACGACTACCTCTTGGGCTATGTATAGTCTCCTCATGAGCACAATTGTTCTGGAATACCCATTCTTCACAATATTATCCATAATCTTTCTGGTACGTATCCTTTTAGAAAAGGATATGGAAGGAGGGGAGTCCTGGTGTGGCACTGTGGGCTAATACATCAGACTACAAAGTCATTTGAACTGCGAGGTCTGTGGTTCAAGCTCACCAGCTGCTCCTTGGAAACACTATTCCGGGTCACTGTGGGTCAGGATTGACTTGACAGCACTTAACAACAACATCAAATATATTCAAGTAATATTTTAGCTGTTGTGAACTTATTTTGATTTTCTTCAGTTTCAGCCTGAAATTGCATATGAGCAATTGATGGTCTTTTCCACACTATACTCTTGATCTTGCTTTGATTGATGATGATAAGCTTCTGAATCATCTATTCCCTCAGATGAAGTCAATTTGATTCCTGCGTATTCTATTTGATGAGGTCCACGTGTATAGTTGCCATTTATGTTGTTGAGAAAGGTATGTGCAATGAATAAGTCATTGGTTTACAAAATTCTATCATGTGATCTCCAGCATTATTGCTATCACCAAAGCCATATTTTCCAATTACTGATCCTTCCTTGTTGTTTCCAACTTTTGCATTCCAATCACCAGTATTTATCAATGCATCTTAATTGTATGTTTGATCAGTTTCCAACTGCAAAAATTGATAGAATTCTTCAATGTCATCATCATTGACTTTAGTTATTGTTATTGGTGTGTACATTTAAATAATCAT